CCTTAGGCCTACTTAATTCAAAATTTGCTTTTAATTTGGTTCGGCGCGACTCTAGACTTAACACTCGTAGTGATGGTGTCTTGTACACAGAGCATTTTATCTCACTTTATTCATTTATGAGCGCTTGGACACATCACTGACTGCCTTCCCACTCCCTTAAAGTTCATCTCACCTTTCTGACTCCCCAGAACCACAGTCAAGTGAGTGATTTTCTAGTCATTTTTATGAGTAAAAATTGTGAAAGTCTTTGTTTACACGTCCACGTAATTCCTTCCCTGACACTCAAGAAGTTTTGAACTCGTGTATAAAAAGCGATGTTATGCATGCCTATAACGTTTGCTTAGATTAACAGTGATTTCGATTTTCTTGTACAAATCGTGATAATTTTTTCATAGTTCTTGACAGTTTTTGTTGATGTTAGATGTTTACCTACGTGTACAATTTTCAAGCAGTTTAACTGGCGTTAACCCTAGAATAAACAATCCATGGCTGCTCCTTTGTAACAGTATTACTGCCAGTCCTCAGTACATGTATAGCGACTTTTCTATCATTTATTATCGTTTTCTATCATTTCGTATATAGGAGCTTGACATATTTTCCTCAAAGTGCACGATTAGAATTCCACAGGATCTTGATTATTTCTTTGTATTTATCTTGCTAACAGTTCACCACGACTATTAAAGACACAGTTGAATCTGAAGTTCCGACCTGTAGCTGCTTGTTCTCCTTAATCATAGCTGACACTAGCTGGTGAACATTAGGTTACCGCCTCCCTGGGACTTCACTTAATGCCATCGAGTGCACCCAGTGTTTAAAGTAGCTTTGAACAGTTTATTTAAAAAAAAAATCTCCATCAGTTCATGTGAAAAAACTTTTCATTCAAAGTGATTTGCTTATTAACCGAGTGGTATGGATGACTTCTGGCCTGGGTACCGAATTACCTACGCTAGTTTCCGTAATTTCTCCATGACCAATTATATACAGACTAAGTGTTGTCTTTAATAGTGAGGCTTGTTTACCATGTCCATGACAGTGATTTGCTCGTAGGCGAAGGCGATGGCATTAGGGGGCGTGGCTACTGGCAGCATGAAGGCGAAGGAGCAGGTCACGGTGGCAGGTAGCATCAGGAACAGTGGATTGACGCCGATACTCGTCCCCTTGACAAGAATGATCATAGCATCAATTTAACCCGACTATATCCGCAGACACCCAGATCTAAGGCCTAATACACGCAGTTATTAAAACATGCTATAATACCAATTCTTAAAAAGAGTTAACCCAAAGAAACACCCAAAGTCCGGCTTTCGACTCAAGCTTACCAAATTGCTGAACTTACCAAACTAGCGAGTATAGGAAGGAAGATGGTTGCTGTAGCGGTGTTGCTGGTGACTTCCGTGAAGGCAGCGATAATGACGGACACCACTAACGCGATAGCAAAGGGAGGGAAGCTATCCAGCACAGTGAACCTTTCGCCGATCAAGGCCGACAGACCCGACACCTTTTGGTGGACGGAGGGGTTTTAAACATACAGTCAATTAAAATCAAGGGCCTTTGTGTCAGTCGGTTATCAATGTAGCCAAGGCACAACTACAAGAGAGAGCTTCCATTAGTTGCCATGCTTTGTGCATTATTGTTTGAATACGAAACTGTGTCGAGGGGAAACATCTATCAGAAATTAGCAGTCACGAGCGGGCGGTATGCTCATTATATAATAATGAAGGTTTGGTGTATTTCCTGACCTTGCAGGCTTCAGCCAGCGCCAAGCCTCCACCAAAAAGGATGATCACCAGCCAAGGCATCTTTTGTTGAACGATCGACCACTCCAGAAGGGCCGGGCATGGACCTGTTTCTTCCTCCAAATCCTCTGTAATGGAAAGCAGACACTTATACTCCCGTTTAGAAATCCCTCAGCCAATATGATACCACTGCCTCACACCAGTGATTTTGATTTCTAAAAGAAAAAATGTAGAGAGTACATGGAAATCGTCGATCTGTGATGAATTGTCTCTGCTCTGCAAGGACAAAGCCCCCATAAGAAATTGCTCGCCACAGCACTGACCTTTCGAGCTCCGGCCACACAAGAATTTGGGCATCCGGGAAGGAAATAAAAAGAGTAGAACGGCGACAAATATCGCTGCGGTCGAGTCGGTCACGTATCTGAAGGACAGAAATTTACAGAGTACGTAGATGAAGTGGTTGTCTGCGGTCTACTATAAAGATGAGTAACATTTCCACAAAGCATTACTGTAGAACTCAATTCAGATTGGTCGAGTTGTTAATTATGATAACTTGTAGTTTTCAAATCATGCAAATTGGTGAATGGTATCCCACTACAGAGGAATCACTGCTATCATCACTATACTGATCATTGTAACGATGTTTGCTATCTACTCTTTATAGGTATACTGCTTAAAGCTGTAAGGCTGTTTTGTATGAACTTCAGTGCACGAGATTTTTTAAAAGAAAAAGGTTTAGGGGAAGTTGGGGCTACTGGACCACTTACGCACATTTTTGTTCTAACCATATTCAAAAACCAAGAAAAGGATAAAACTACTTTTAATACGTGACCCAAACACTTGTTTGTTTATTGCAAACAGTCGTAATCAACCCCATTAATAAAACTTATGAATATTAACTCATTGAAAATTCATCCAAAAGTGGACCACCAGCCCCACACCCGGGGCAAGTGGACCACATCATAAAACCTTAAAACTTGCCACCAACAGAGTACGAAATGAATGTTGGAATGAGTAAAGTGATAATAAAACACTGAAAATGGCAATCGTAGTTATCTCAGAAGCACCAGAGTTCAATAAAACAAAATTAATTAGAAAATTCCTGTATCTTTTTTCCAGTCATGCAATTTCTGTTTTTGGAATGTCAAGCAAAGCATGGAGTTGTTCGGTTTTGGCGTTTTTATTATCCTAAATCATGATTTTAAGTTTATTTTTCAAGTTTATTTATATTTCTCCCACGGGCCTCAATTTATGTTCAGCTTAACCTCTGATAAATATAGATATTGTTTAAACAGAGCTGCTCAATTCCAAAACCTTTTAATTGTTTTTTGCCTATGAGTGGGCCAGTTGCCCCGATGACCCAATAGCCTCACCCTTCCTTATTGAGGCTTTGCACGGCGGTCATCTTGGAGGGTCAGTTCGACACGGATATGCATGAATACGCCTTTTGTGGCACGAAAGTACTAGCGTCAACTCAAAAACTCTACACAATAAACATACCCCTCTGGGAAGAGCACAGACCAGCCAGTCACAAAGCCTGGTTTACGGCTGATCCACAGCACAATTAGCAAGATAAAGTGCGCAAGAGCACCCTTCTCGGCAAACCTGTCCGGAAATACACAGGTGTGAAAAGTCGAGATTTGCATGGACCTCTGGCAATCAATCAAGACGATCAATGGTCAAGAGGAAAGGGGGAGAAAATTGATGGCAAGACGGGGGAGCGGTGGGGGTTGGTAGGAGGAACCTAATCACGGGTATTATTTAAGAGTCTCCCGACCAATCCAGGTAAACAGTTCTTGAAAAATTTTGTGCTTACTGTCACTCCCGTGAAAATGAGGTGTACGACCAAGAAAAAGTTAATTTGGTTTCTTACGACATGGGTCCAAGGTCCTTGTAGGCCTGACGGATGACTTTGGTGGCGCCCTTGTGGTCGAGTTCCTGGCCCAGCTTCTTACAGCACCTGACGCAAACACAAATTATCAAATAAAGTTCAAATGGTATTATCAAAAAATATTTAGATGGCCAAGATGTATGAGTAAACCAACCATCTATATTACAGTACCCATAATAATGGCATGATTCCAAAAAGCACTCACCAGCGATCCACGTAAACAATCTGCAGCCAGATCCAGCTCAGAAGCAGGCAGAGCAGCATACCAGGCGCGGCATACATTATCCACTCACCGAAGTCGATCTCAGCCTCAGACCCAAACAAACTGTGGAATGCACAACCACCAAGACTGTCACGCGCAGATTGCTACCATGATTTAGAAAAAATACAATATGTATCTAATTTAAAGTGGCATGCAAACCAGGCCCCGCAGCACACTGCTCGGTATAACCCATTTACAGTTTTTTTTCTTTTGCTGGTTACTTCCCCTGATTCAGGTTGACTATACCTAACTGGGAACCAACCACGCTGCAAGCATAATGCCGGAGATCTTATTATTAAATCCGGCTGCCCCAGAACATTACCAGGCTTCAGTTACTCTTCGCTCTACCTTGTTGGGTGTAAACTTACAATACGCGTGCCTGCTAACATATTACTGTCTTCGTTCTCGAGAATCTTGAGTTACACGTTAGTGTTTAAGTTATTTCCCCTAAAAATCTTAAAAAGATTTCCTGAAAAGGTGACAAAAGTTTCCCTTACAAATTACATAAAATCGCCTGCGTTTAGATGTCAGCTTTTTCCACAATGTGCGCAATGAAGAATTCACTTGAACATCTCGTACAACATTTTGCTGGGGATCCACTCGCCTGCTAACTTGACCGGCCAGTACAAGGTTTGGAGCTGTGCCTGTCAGCGTGGCTGTACCGCCGATGCTTGCCGCATAGGGTACGCACAGTATGATGCCTTTGCAAATGAAATTGTAGCGGGATTCTTGCTTGTCGTTTTCCAACAGCCTGAAGTTGTCGGTATCCAGAGGCTGCACATCAGTGCTAAAACGACAAAGGAAAGAACATGAACAATTCCGTGGAGAGAGTGCTTAATTCCACTAAAAACAAAAGCAAGTTCATCTCAATGTCGCAAACTGCATTCCCTTTTCCCGACTCAAAAACCTTAAAACAAAAAAAATGACGTACGTACATTTATTATTTTTGACCTGACATCTACGACCCATGACCTACCTTCCCCTAACCCGAACCTCCTCCATGGCAATGGCTTCCTCTCCTTCCTTGTCTCCGTGGGCCCGCCCACTTCTGGTATCTCTATCACTGCGGCCCTGGTTGGCATTGTCACCTTTCTGCAATAGACATTGTGGTGGCATGCGGACATACTAGACACTGCATGTTCTATGAAAATTGTCTTGATAGTCATTTGAGAAATCTGCAGATCCTCATCCATCCTACCATTACAAGTTTCTGAACGTATGTGGGTCTGAACGTGAGTGTCGATGAAAGTGTTTGATAATGGAAATCAAGATTTGCGTTCAGAGCATTGCACAAGCGTCTATATAGGATTACACATTTCGCACTTCGTTGATCTCACAGGCATATCGCCACGCAAACATGACGTATGAGCCATTCTCAGCAATTGGCGAATTTGGGGATTTAAAAAATTCCTAGGGACGGCCTCGTTTTGATTTTATGGCAAAGGGTCAAGGACCATACCTGTGTCAAGTTATCCTTTTTAAGTTGCTGTAGCACAGCTTGCGCAATCGGCAACATCATGGCAGTGGTGGCGGTGCTACTAATCCACATGGACAAGAACGCGGTAATGAGCATGAAACCTAACATCATCCTACAAATAAAAGGAGAGCAAAAATATTGTTTAAATTTTCATATAAATGTACAAGGTAGCTTGAAATAGCGCCCATATCCACTCTTGGCGTCAAACAAACGCCACTGTTTGATGTTATGCCTAGCTCCGAACTGAAGAAACATTCTGAGGATGAGAATCATAGCGAAACACGACCCGCAATAACACCTGCGATTGACTTGTCGAATGAGGGTTCATTTGATGTTTAAACCATTTTGTGGGGTCTGTGTATCTCAAGCTAAAACATCTTTGTTCACGAGGATCGGGAGACTGCCCCAGTGAGGTGCAAGTGTTAGTCCAGAGAAGAAAACCTCCTCGTTACCTGACTCCAAGAGCCCGTCACCGGTAGATGTCATTAACATCACTGACCAGGAAAACGTCACCATCGAGAAAGAAATAGACCTGATGCTTGATCGGCCAGACACCCTACCAAACTTCTGCCTCTAGGGAACTAAGATCTGCCCGCCAACTCCGCCGACATCCGGTAATGAGATCCTACTGGCTCTTGGCAAACCTGAGAGCAGACTCTCGAAGAGGTCACCAAGACGATCAACATCTGTGAGGAGCTCAACAGCTTACTGGTTGAAGTCAGAAGCATGTCGAGCCAGATGGACCATCTTATCTGGTCTTATCGAAACAAACACGCCAAACTCTGGCGTGACACGCGACATCTAAGCTTCGAGGTCCTAACCCGGGGGGCTCAACTTTCCTCCGGCTGAGTATGATAACTCCGTAGACGTCAGCGACCACCGTGACGACAACAAAAGGACGATGACGAAGGAAAGCGTGCTGACAAGAAGCCTATGTCTGCGACCTACGAGTCGTCAGGCATTCTTGGGTGTGAGTATCATGGTGCCAAGGTACCATATACCATCCATACAAAAGTGGTGTCGCCGTGTAGGCAATAAAGCCAAAACTTCCATCGTATGAGCAATTCACTGTCACTGTAGCCGGGACTGAGGCTTTCCATCCCTCACTGAAACTCGCAATCACCTAAAACATCAGCGGTTCCTGTCTTGGCGGTACGAAAACGAGATCGGGTAAACCAAACTGCCAAGCAGTCTTGCAGAGGACCTAACATGTCATATTCAGCGTCTGATTCTACAACTGTAGGATTCCATCTCGAGTGAGAGACACTGATTTCCCCTTACGCTACACAAATGGCTTGACTGTTTCGGTTTTTGAAGCATCGTTAAATAAAACGTGAGCATGGCCGCTTATGTTTTGATTCATTGTGTAGAATTTTGTTCCTTTATTCATGTAAAAAATGCCATTCTGAAAATGTTGCTTCAAAGAAAACCTAAAACGCCATACAATGTACACGCAAAGGATTTTATTAAAGTGATACGGGGCCGGGTAGAGTGAAGCCAATTTTCACCAAATCAGTAACCAGTCTACAATATGAATGTCATGATATTTGCTATCCTGTCACACAAGCGAATCGTATCAGAACAGTGTTTGTCGGGCGACCTAAGAAAGCATTATGATACTGGAAGTCTTGGCAAGTATTATTTTTTAGCGATACTGTATCGCCCACTAGTGCAGAAAATGTAAAGAGCACGTTATGTTTTGGCAGTCTTGCTACATTTGAGCATAGACACCCTCCCCCCCAAAAAAAAAAATATAATATAAGAAAAGTTGCTTATTGAAGGAGATTTGTGATTCCATTTCTATTATTATTATTTCTAACTATTTCCCACTCATTCCCGTTCTCACCATCTTGGTTTGGATCCCACTAGTATCAAGACAGCCAGAGCAATTCTTCGGTGCAGATTGTTATGCTCTATGGCCACAGCCACAATCAGGCCGCCGAGGAAGAGTATATTGACGTCTTTGGAGTAGTTGACTGCGACATCCTTGGCCGGCATGACCCCGAAGAGCGGGAAGAGGACGAGGGGTAAGAGAGCCGTCACGGCCAAAGAGATCGCCTCCGTGCACCAGAAAATAGCCATGATCAGGATGCTGTAGGCCGTGTAGCCGATCTACGGGCAACGACAGCATAAATTGGGGTACAATTTATTTTCCCTCGAAGGTGCGATGTTTCGGTGAGGGAATGAATTCTACTTGAGTAAAGGTAAGTTCCAACCCGCAAACCATCATAATCTTCAACCCATTCTTCTGCATTAAAAAAACTAACTTTTTACATCATACAATGGAATTTGACAACCAAAATCCAAAACCAGTGCTGCGTTTGGCAAGGGGGTACGCGCATGACATGCTGCTTCGACCAATAGAGTGTCGTGATTTGTCAAATCACGCGCGCGTCAAGCTGAAGAATGTGCCTGTGAGTGCAGTGACACAGCTGTTAGGGCATCTAATCAGATAAGTCTATAATACAGTTTTTGGACATAACATTAAAAAAAAATAGCAAGTAAAGGTGCATGTGGTTTCCAGTGATAAGAAAAAATTAAAATTGATTGAGGTAGCGATTATTTTCCCAAGTTTTCAATGACTTTAAATTCAATAAAATGTACGGTGCTTTTCGGCAGAAATCTTACTGAATCGTTGATGGCAATGGGGATTGGGCACAGGATGAGAGGCACCAGGAGCACAATGAAATATCGTCGGTTTCTCCAGACCACGGCTCGCCAGCTGGGTGCGGGGGGCGGGATATCTGCTGACCCATCCACCGCTTGCTCCTCCGCTGGGCCGATTACTTTCTCCAAGCTCGGTGGAGGGTCGGCGTTGGTAATACCTCCTGTAAATCAACAAGACAAGCAACTCTAGTGGCATATCCTGCATGGTTTGAATCTACGTAAACAACATGTTTTTTCTCTCTCTCCTAAACGGCCCCAGTTTTGTTCCTCCGAAAAAGGTCTTCGGTGACAGTACCATTTCGGAAGTGTTAGCACTTTAAATTCCTTAAAGAGCACCTCTTAGGAAAACATGTTTTCTCTGATTTAATCTGGTCAAATGAATATGGAAGCATCCAGATCGCACGTAGTGTCATTTGTCTTCAGAGCTCAATTATAAAACAAGCTAAAAAGGGCTTTTTTCTGTTCATGCCAAGAAGCGAATTCTGAGTGTAGATTACGTCATTCGGAGAAATCAGAGAAAACGAGGGAACCCTCGCCCGGTGTTCGTAGTGGATAAACCAAAAAAAGTGTCAAAAAAAGTCTTGGGCCAAGACGGCAGAACTCGATAGCGAACTCGATCGAGCATAAAATATGCCGCGCGCGCTGATTTCCATTGCGTCCTCTCATGACTTCATTTCACCAATCGACGGCTCGTTCTACCGTCTTGGGAATCTCCAACAAACTGTTTAACTTTTTCTTTACTTTTCCTCGGGATTTCTGAGGAACCAATTAGCGCCCAGGAAATTCCAGTTGAACCTGTATGTGAAGAATATGGATTAATAACTTGCATTACATGACCTTTCACGTGACATATTCAAGCGCTACTACGGGACGCTTAACGTACTTCTAAAGTACCAGTATTGTCACCGTTGATAATGGCTGCGGTCGATGCATTGGAAAAGGCGCGAAGAAGTAGGCCTGTAAAAGACTTCCTATAACAAAACTAAAGAAATAACAAGCTGACGCTGTTGATGAGAGTCCGCTTTCATTCATTCCTTTATTCATTCATTTATTATTTCTCAGGGTGCAAAAACCAACACAAAATACAAACACCGATACATATCAATATATAAGAACAATATTTGCTGACACCCCTGACGGATAGCCTAAAAGCGAACTCAATCACTGTCGAGAGGGTCTCCATAAAAAGCTCAACAAATACAAGAAAAATACTAGATAAAAAATGACTAAAAATACAAAAATGCACAAAAGTAAAACTAGAGAAATAAACAATGGAATGTACATTTCTGAGTGAAGCCACCCCCGGCCTGCAATTTGGGACTTCCTGTGAACCCTCCTGCTTCAACCCTCCCACGTGCGGTCTGTTTTGTATCCAATTTTGCATCCTAGGGTCCATTCTGAATACTCATATTAAACAACTATTTTGCATACGAAGGCCACGCCTCGGTTGTAGGAGATTACCAAGACGGTAGAACGAGCCGTCGATTGGTGAAGTCACTAGCAATAGAAAACGGCACGAGCGGCATATATCTTGCTCGATCGACGTCTGCCGTCTTGGCCCAAGAATAGTCAAACAATGGCTACATGCTATCCCCAATCCGCCATGAGTTGAAGTGCACCCTCACCGGGAAAAGACAGACAGATGGTACTAAGTTTTCCAACCGGGTTCTTGCACGCGTTCGGCAAGCACGCGCAGACCACACATTCCAGACTATTGATCTCCATTATAAAGACATCTCAATATTAGAAAGACTGGATAGGACATCACGTGGAGGGTAATTAACCAGCAGTTCGAACAAAAACTTAATTCTGCATATGGAATGGACAAATTTTAAGGTTATTTTTTCTGGGCTTCTGCACATTTTTCACTTTCGTCTTCGGACTTTGAATTCCTTTGTTTGTAACTTCATTCAACAGAAACGTCAGCACTCTGCTTCTCACTTTGGTTTCATCTCTGCCCTGAAGAATTCTGTCACTCATTTCACATCGTCTCTAACACAAATTGGCTTCGGTGCGTCTTTAGATCTGACAAACACAAATCATGGCTGTCTTGGAGATTTTTCCGGTGAAATCTGGGGAAAATGAACGACAAATTAGTCATTCAGTTTTTGAAACCACTTTTGCCAATAAGTAACATTTCAGACGGTCCCAACTTCGAGATAGTGAAGTTTCATATACAAACTGAGCCTGATAGGCTAGATAGACTGTCATAAATTTCTTACTAGGCCTATTTAGGCTTAAAGTTAAGCATTATAAAGTACAACTTGAGAAAATTTCCGAAACTAAAAAAGTGCGACTTAAATTTCCTTCCGTTCCTTCTCCCCAAACTTGACGTTGATTTCTGATAATTCACTGCTGCGTACACCTCCAGCATTATTCTTTCCAACTTTATCCATTCCAAGTGCAGAATTCAGTTTTTCTTCGAAATCTGACGATTGAAGCGCAAAAACCTCAACGTGTTTTTGAAAAACTCCATTTTGAATTTACACACAACGAAATTCGCAACGCTTGTTATTTACCCTCCTGACAATACGCATACGCGGGACGCGCTTTGGACGCGATGTCCTATCCAGTCTATATAATGGAGATCAATGGGAAAGGGCCATTGAATACCAACCTCGTTCCCATGGGTACGATCTTGCCGCGCCATGTTGGTTCCCACCATTCCTTATGCGATTTAAGCCCTGGTATTGTGGCTGCGTTCGATTAGCTTACACTTGTAAGTCAAATCTACAAGAGAGCGTTCGTTTGGCCATCACGTGATCCTCGTGCCTGCCCTGGTGTCAGCCACCACTATCCTGGCTGGCGAGTGGGTCTCTGGAGGCTACCCGAGTGTAATGACGTCACGGATGGACTGTTCGAGCATGGAACGTGGCGGGGACTTGGCCTTTTTCCCGGGAAGCCTTGGCGAATACACTGCAGCGTTCGATTAGACTCATTTCGAGGCTTCCCTTGCATGTAACACTGGTGTATTCAGGGAAGCTGATCGAACGCACCCACTGTTTGGGATTTTTAAATTCGAACTTTATTAAGTGTGTTTACACGCAAACAGATTTACGTGTGCGTGACATGCAAGAGTATACGTGGGCGCGAGCGTGCAGCATTTGAAATACGTGCGCGATTGACTTTACGTTTATGTATTTTCATCCTAAATAGCCAGTCAGCGTCATTTTCTTATTCTACACGACCAAGGGCTAGCAAAGGAACGCGCACACAGTCCATGGAGACGAGGTTGATTGGACACCGACCGTCCAAAATCATGTGACTGAAAATGCTCCATACACAGCGCGCAGACTAGACCATGGAGAATGGATGCACACACTTAAGTCGGCGGGATTCGCCCAACGCCTTGGCACTATAGCAATCAATTACATATGGTTCGTGTTTCGATGTCATCAACATCTGTTTCTAACACTTTATCATTTGGTCAGGTACTTAGGTTATATAATTGACTTAGTGCTTAGACTTCGTGTGCTTGAACGATGCCTGCCACTTTGCATTTTGGTGTGAATACATGCAGGCTGAAATGTTCGAAACTGATTTTGAAAAGAATCGATTTAGGATAGACCCTGAATGCATTGGCCAAGTTATCCATACGGTTCCACGAGGGTGCAATTCTATTATCTGTTAACCTTTGTACTCAAACACTCGCCATCGCGTTTGCTCACAGAATTGTGCTCCCTTATCGGGATTTATTTAAAATAAGTTCCGAATCTAACTTTACTGCATGGGGGATTAAACAGCAGTGGTGATTTCATTTCCCAATCGTTGCAGTGTAAATTAAGTGACCTGTCAATAAACCTACCTGTGTCGAAAGTATGGACCTCCATTGCAGTCTCAGGCCTGAGAAAACTCTTGGGGTGTTGTTGAGAGAAAATCGAGAGAAAAAAGAAGCAGAAGCTGTAAGCCTAAAAGAATGAGGTATTACCACGGAAAGGGGAGAGTTCGAACAGCTTCATGGATTCGAGTCAATGTTTGTGAGGAAGTTACATGCATTTGACATTCTGTGTGCACGTGGTATCAAGAGTCTTTAACCCTTGGAACTATTCAAGCTAGCTATAAGCTACTGCATGGGCGCCGTTTGGGACTGCTAGAGACAATTAAAAAGCATGGCAGTTATGACTGAAAAAAGCACTGTTACTGCAACCCATGCACATGTTTATGACGTTCGTTACCAAAGTCTAGCGTACGCAAGATCTGTGCTTAGCAGCATCATGGCAGCAAACGGTGACCAATTCCACGCGCTTCAATCGCAATATGGGACGTCGTTTTTATTTGTGGATTGTCTAGAAATTGAACAAATGTAATTAAATGATTTGTGTGAAATCGAAAATTCATTAAGCATATTATGTTTCTGTAGCATGTTGGTTAAAACATTTTCACTTGAAGACAAAGAGTATTGCCAAATTTGATGATTTTCTACTGTAGTTTTAAGTTATCCTGGTTGTAAAAGGAATATTCATTGAAATCCAGTGAGGGTCTGAATTGACTGCATGTATGGAATCCATCGGATAAACAGAAATCTGCGAAATGAGTTTGAATTTGACCCAAGTTTTCTCGTCAAGTCGTGCTAATACGGACATTTTGTAAAGGATAAATCAGTCACAGATCCAAAACATAATTATTACGTTTTAATATGTCGAAATACGTGTTATACCTCTTGCAGTGCAGAGTCATTGCTTTGCCGAACGTTTGACAAAAATCAGGGAATCCTCGTACAATGAACCATACTCTTTGTAAAAGCTGGGGCACGTTCAATAGCAAAGTACGTACACCAGCACCGGTATAACCTGTACACTTTCATGAGGAATGAGATATATGAAATGGGATAGGAATCCATAAAGTGAAATAAAGTTTTATTCAGTTGGTATCGTGATAAACAATCCACCAATCAGATGACTGGGATCTATGCAGGTGTTGTATAAAACGTGAACATTTATACTCAACGAATTTGTGTCGTCCTCTTACACATTGCTCTTTCTATATAGTACTCATGCACGTTATAGTGGAAGCTAAGTATAATTAGATCGTGCCTACAGGTTGTTTGCGTCATATTTAAGAGCTGGCCAGAAATAATATGCTTATTCAAACCACAAATATGTTCAGGCAAAAGGTGGGCTTTATTAACGACGAGTTATAATGCCATTTCTGAAGTTCCCTGAATGACCATATACTTTGGAATGTATATTAGTAAATTAGCAACTTCATAAAATACCGTTATGAGGTCTTTAGCTTAGTTTTGATCACTTTACAAATTATTTAAAATCCCACTGGAGAATAATAATGCTTTTGAGTAAGTAAAGATACACGTTGTTACAAAGTAATTCATAAACTGTTATGATCTTATTCTACAGAGCCTTTAACAATGTACATGCATCCAGGTAACTGAGAATTCTGAAAATTCAATTACCAACATCCTACCATTCTACCCTAAGAACATTCAAATAAATTGTTAAAAAGCTAAAAAATTACTCAAATTAAACCTTACACCACACTTCATCCGACCACGACAACGTCCAAACAGAAATAAAAA